GCCTCGTGACACGCCTAGAACTGAACTATTGTGAGTTCTTTGCCATATTAGAAATCAAATACCTTGCAGCTACAGGGGTCTTGTCCATCAAGGCTCCTCCACTAGCCGCATCAATCATGCTCATCTGCATAGGAAGTAAACCTTTATAAAAATACTGAATCAACAGCTACTCATTGATTTGGTGATTTGGACAGGTTGCACAAAGTCTATTGAACCTCTTCCAATACTCATACCAACAAAATGACATGTTCTAAAGGAGGATTGTTATACAGTAAAAGAGAAAGGGAATCTCCACTTGCCAACCCCCATACTAAATGACATGTTCTTGTTAGGGATGATATATATAGCTTTGTAATTCGTTTTGCATCCATTACATGGTTAGAAGACACAAAACAAAGAAAATATGAGTATAATCATCCATAAATTATATCACAAGGCAATACCAATTGCTTAATAAATAAAAGACATAACTAATAAATCAATCAATAATCAATCAAGCATTTTGCAACCAATTAACCTCAATTGTAGCCTTAAAGCATGCCATAAATCCAATCTCTATGGTAGATGCAACAATGAGTAACTGATTCGCACTCTTGCATGATGTCGCTCTTCCAAGTAAAAGATACACATAACCAAATGTAGACTTTCTTGTATATATACAATCAACAAAGTTTGAATGCGTTTATCCAATCACTTAAAGATGACCAGATCTCCAATAAGTAAGCATGTGATTCTTTATCCCTTAAGACTTTTTTTTTGCAGCTTTCCAATGATCCAGTCCTGGATAACTTTAGTATCTACCAAGCATATCAACTGCAAAACTAATATCTAGCCTCATACATGTTTGAGTATACATCAAACTCCCAACAAAAGATGCATAAAGAAAATTTTTCATCTTTTTAAGTTTTAAATCATTCTTTAGACATTGCTTGAGACTAAATTTGTCTCCTTTTTGTATTAGAACGAGAAATGATGAACATTTATCCATTGTGAATTTCTCTAAAACTTTATTGATATATGTTTCATGAGACAAGTGTAATAGTCCTTGCGATATATCACAAAATATTTCTATTTCTATCACACAGCTTACCTCACCCATAACTTTCATTTCAAAGTTGTTAGAGAAAAACTTCTTAGTCTCACTTAATAGACCAAGATTATTAGTTGGAAGCAAAATGTCATCAATATATAGAATCAGAAATATAAACTTGGTCCCACTAACTTTTAGATTTATACACCAATCGATAATGTTTTCCTTAAACCTAAAGGACATAATAATATCATTAAACTTGAGATACCATTGTCAAGAAGCTTGGTTAAGTCCATATATTGATTTCTTAAGTTCACACACCATGTGCTTATTTCCTTTGTCAATGAACCTCACTAGTAGATCCATATAAACGTCCTCTTCTAAATTCCTATTCAGAAAGGCAGCTTTAACATCTATTTAATGTAACTCAATATCATAATAAGCTCCTAACGCCATGATACTTCTACAAGAATTTTTCTTAGAAACTAGTGAAAATATTTTTGTATAGTCAATGATATCATTTTAAGTAAAACTTTAGGCAACAAGTCAGACCTTGTAACGTTTGATATTGTCATGAAAGTCACACTTAGTCTTAAAAACTCATTTATGTCAAGCCTATCTTTTATCTATGATATATCCCTTTTAATATGTGTTGTAATTGTTTGACTTGTCAAAAGGCAAGCTAGAGTGTCAGAATCCACCTGGAGAATTGCAAACCATGGAGATTTTTGAGTAAAAATGGGACAGTATAACCATGGACTTAGTATCCTATCTGTCAAAGATTGTTAGGAGTTATGACATTATCTAGGTCATAGTTGATAGACTAACAAAGTGTGCACTTTTCCTGTTAATCAACATGACTTATACCTTAGAAAAGCTTGCTAGACTATATGTCAGAGAGATTGTCAGCCTATACAGAGTACCTACTAGTATAATCTCTGATAGGGACCTTCATTTCACTTATCAGCTCTAGCAGAGCTTCCAGGAAGCCATAGGTACCTAATTGAGGCCGAGTTTAGCATACTACCCTCAAACGGATGGCCAATCAAAGTGAACCATTCAGACCTTAGAAGATTTGCTACAAGCTTGTGTTATTGATCAGAAAGGTAATTAGGAGGATATGTTTCCTTTGGTAGAATTCACTTATAATAACAAATAACATTCGAGTATAGGCATGGCTCCTTTTGAGGCCTTGTATGGCAAGAGATGTCAGACCCTTGTTTGTTGGTTCCAAAATGGAGTTTATCTGATGGTTGGACCTGAGATGCTTCAAAGAACTACAGAGTAAGTTGAGTTTATCCAAAGAATGCTGAAAGTGACTCATAGTCATTAGAAATCATATTCTAGAGAGTATCACAAACCACGAGTGATGGATGAGCTTTGAAAGTGAAGAACCTAACACCTAAATTTAGTTCTTTTTAAATGCTAAAAATTCATACAGGTTTTAATTGGATGGTATGTCACGCATCCTTCCTAAAAAAGGGTTGTGACATTTTACACCAAACTCTCTTAATTACATCCTTGCATCCAACATTTTTGGATCCTACCATATCCTTACCCAGTATAATTGTGCGGCTATTACACTTTTTTATTTCCCAAAAATACTCGTTCTTCCTAAAATTAGCTTGAACAAGTCATCCACAATCTCTGTCATATCTAATGCACTTACAACTTCTTCTTGAAATACTTGTAGTCCACTTCTTTTGATATATTATAATACTTAATTATTCGTATAACAACTTCTTTGTCATTAAATTGTATTCCAATGTACAATTTTCCATAACAGAAAGATTAACATCTAAACTTGGATACCCAAGTTTGCATACTCTGAAAACTCAGATGCATGCATAGTATCAAGATATAAAGCACGCATGAAGGGTGACTCTTCAAAAGAATGTTGCCTAACCAATGTGTTGGATAAATAGAGCTCTTCCCTGGGCTCATTGCTTCCATATTCTACTTCAAAGTTGTTGTCATCACTTTCAATATTGTTATTCTTATTTTACCTCTCTATCTGGCACGATGCTCGTATATGCTTCTTCCCCCTCATTATCTTCTTGATAAATTTCAACTAAAACTTCTTTGAAAACAACATACAATTCAATGGCAAATAAGATTTGGGGGATGACACTGAGGATATGTTCAAAACATTTGTTGAAAATCAATGCTTATTAGAATTGCTTGATATGCATGAAATTGCCAAATATCAAGATTGCATATCTATAGGTAATACTCTACTATTTTTAGAGTCTCAACATAATATATTTACTAAGGCAATACTTCGGTTCTCCAAATAATATATTTTATAAAATATATACACGATGGATTCTCGCATCTAAATGTTATATCTTCACTATGTTCATGAAAATATTATCATTAAAGTATACTAAGTATATTTGCACTCATTTTTTCTTATGACACAAAGGAATGAAACTGAAGAATGATATGAAACCTTCACTTATAATCTACTATGAATGAGAATTAGCAATCATAAACTGCGAATGACAATTTTTCTTTTAAAAAAATGTCAATGGCAATTTTATGCTAGATTAGACAATTTTTTTAAAATACTTAAAGACTGAAAAGATGCCAACAACTATATTTAGTGTTAATTTTTTTAAAAAAAAAAATCTCCGATGACAATTTTTGATGTCATCATATTTTTTAAATCTTATTAATGACTACTTTTAAATTAAAAAATATTTTAATATTTTAAATTCACCGCTAAGGACTTTTTATTGTAAATTTTTTTTTATATTAAAAAAGTCATTGGCAATTTTATTAAAAAAAACATATTCATGCATTTTTCTTAAAAAACCATACTTTGATCATTTAAAAATAAAAAAAGAACATGTATAATAAAAGACCTTATATTGTGTAATATCAACTTAAATAACAACATAACTATTACTACTCAAATAAACAACGCACAATAGACAGTTTAATTATATAATTATAAATATTGTATTATAATTAAATCTAAAAAGAAGTTAGTTTTACATTGAAAAAGGAATTATGATTTTTTTTTAAAATCAAATAACTAAGTCATAAAATTTACATGTGACATCAAGTATATATAGCATAAGTACATAAAAATTAAGAGGAACCTAATAAAACTAAATTAAGCTATTAGTATCAAATTGGCTTACAGTTAGGTTACCAACAAAGAGATTTTCAATTACATTATTAGGTCATTTTCAATTACATTATTAGGTCATCATCCAGTTAGATTACCCATAATTAGGTTATGAGTTGTAGTCACTTATGATGTTTGTGATCCAACTATAGTGTTCTTGATTGAACCAATAAATGTTCCCTTCATTAATTGCAAGATTTGATGGTTCCTATAGATAAAACAAAGGAAACTTGTTAATAGAAGAAAAAAATTATTATTTGGGTTTAATGGTACTTGAAATGTGACCTTAATTATGTCTTGGTGTGCGCATCTCAGACATACACTAAGAAGTCCTTATGAATTGTCGTTGCTCCGAGATATAAACTCTTTGGCCTTACCTCCATAGATAGATTCATGTCTCGAAACCCAATCAACTTCATTTCTTTCACCATAATTGCTGCTACGTGCAATAGTTTCTGGCTTAACGCATTGACTACCACATTTCACTTGAAAGGATGGTAAGACAATGTGAATTCATAGTCCTTGAGAAATTCCATCCATCTTCTCTGCCTCATGTTCAACTCTCTCTGATCAAACAAGTACTTCAAACTCTTGTGGTCACTAAACACCTCAAATCTTGCTCCATACAGGTAGTGTCTCCACACCTTAAGGGCAAAAATACCGCGGCTAACTTCAAATCGTAAGTCGGGTAGTTGACTTCATGCGAACGCAACTGCCTCGAGACATAGGCAACCACTTGCCCGTCTTGTATCAGAACACACCCAAGTCCATGCCCGAAAACATCACAATACACATCAAACTTCTGTTTCGGGTCGGGCAGACTAACACAGGTGCTCAGGTCAACTTTACTTTAAACTCCAGGAAACTAGTTTCACGCCCTTTGGTCCATTTAAACTCCTTTCCCTTGCGGGTCAACTTCGTTAAGGGTAAAGCTATCTTAAAAAATCTTTCAATGAATTTTCTATAATAGTCTGCTAGTCCTAGAAAACTGCAGATCTCCATCACACTCTTTGGCCTCAGCAATCCAGCTACAACTTCCACCTTTGTAGGGTCTACCATAATTCCTTCCTTCGACATTACATGTCCCAAAAGCTGAATATGAGACAGCCAAAACTCACACTTAGAAAATTTAGCATACAGTTGTCTCTCCTTAAGAATTTGCAATACAATCCTCAAGTGCTCGGCATGCTCTTCTTGAGTCTTTGAATAATCAGAATGTGGTCAATGAACACCACCACAAATTTATCCAAAAACTCATGAAAGATTTGGTTTATGTAGTCCATGATCACAACAGGCGCATTGGTCACTCCAAACAGTATCACCAAATACTCATAGTGACCATACCGCGTCTTAAACACCATATTGGGTACATTCTCATCCTTCACCCTGATCTCAAGTCAATCTTCGAGAACACGGCAGCTCCTCTCAACTGGTCCATCAAATCATCAATCCTCGGAAGTGGATACTTATTCTTGATCATCACCTTGTTCAACTGTCGATAATCCACACACATCCTCATACTCTCATCCTTCTTCTTCACCAATAGCACTGGCACTCTCCATGGTGATACACTTAGCCTTACAAATTGTTTCTGCAACAAGTCCTCCACTTGCTTCTTGACCTCTACCAACTCCACCAGTGACATCTTATATGGTGCTACAGAAATTGACCTTGCTCCCGAAATGAGGTCAATAGCGAACTCGATCTCCTTCTCAGGTGGTAATTCATAAATGTTTTCAGGAAAAGCTTCCAAGAAGTCTCTTACGACCGGGATATACTTCGGCTCCACCACACTTTCAGCTTCTATTAAGAACATGACCATAAAGGCCTTAGCATTCACCATATTCTCCGAAGCACCTTGAATCAAAAGTCTCAGAATCTCTATCATTGACGCACTGAAAATCAAAGCCTTTTCTCTGCAATCTAGTAGCACATGGTTGGCAGCTAGCCAATCCATCTCCAAAATCACATCTAGCTTGGAAAGAGGCAAACAAATCAAGTCTACCCCAAAGTCCCTACCATGCACCATTATTAAACATCCCAAGCACACCCACAATGTCACAATCGGTTTACCCGTAAGGGTAGTCACCACAACATTACATGGCAATTCAGTCACATACAGACCCAGACTCTCCACACATTCCACAGAAACAAAGGAATGCCTAGCACTCGAGTCAAACAATACATTAAGCAATCGGCCCTTAATAATGCATTTACCTCGAACCAACTCCTCAGATAAGGACACCTTTGCCCAACTCATTGCAAATACTCTCCTAGGAATGCTTGGCTTCGACCCTGTGCTTCCTCTTTATTCAAGCCTCTAGGCTATACTCATACTATCACTCCTCTTAGCAGTTAATGAATCCACCTTTTATTATATTTTTACTTGCCTTTTTGGTGCTCTTTGATAGAAAAAATAGACTTAGATAGTGAAAATAATATAGAAATTACATTTTGAGTAAAAATCATAGGTTTATTAATTTTTAGTTAATTTGCATTTAATTACATAGATATAGATTGCAATTTTAATTATCTTGATAATTTTGCAGAATCCCCAAGTTAATTCTAAGAAATCTTGGTCCTTGGATGAAAGTTGCCCCCAAAGTAGCCACTTTTAGGAGCAAAAGTGGCAACTACAGCAAGTCTGGGCATTAAAAGCACCAAAGTAGCTACTATCAAGCCCAAAAGTGGCAACTCCAGAAGCTCCAGGACACTGATTTTGAAGCAATCCTGCGCGTGGCCACTATTGGCTCTCATAGTAGCCACGCGCACCAAAGTAGCCACTTTCAGCACAAATAGTGGCAACTCCAGAGAAGTGGCAACCCTTTCATTTTGCGCGTGGACACTTTCAAGGCCCAAAGTGGACACTTTCAAAGGCAAAAGTGGACACTTTGGTGACATGTCATCCACTATAAATAGATTTTAGGAATTAGGGTACGGGACTTTTGACACTTTACACAATTTTCCTTTGCCAAATTGGGATAATTTCTTACGACATTGGAGTCTTGGGTGACAGCCAAGGGTCCTCTATAGGTTTTAATTTCCAATTTCTCTTTTGATTTTTGTTGAAATTACATTAATGATGTTTACGTTCTTGCATTTCTTTCTCTCATTTGTGAAGCCCATCCATATGGAGGGCTAAACTTTCTTGTAATTCCTAGTCAATGCACATGAATCTTGAATTCTTGGGATTAATTGCAATATAAATCTTTCTTTCCTTGAATTTATTAACCCCAATCTCTTAATGAAATGAAATTTGCATGAAGGGAACATTGCTTAATGAACCCTAATTTACCTAACGAAATTCTAAATCAAAATTGCTTAATTTTGATTAATCCTTGAGGGTGCTTAATCTTAGGGATAGAGATTGGAGCCCATTAAGATGCTTAATTTTAATTGGGATGTTAAAGTTAGTCTTCGCTTGTTAGATTAACTTAATTCAAGGGGAAGAAAGGGGATTATTGAATCATTTGAAAGAATAATGATGGAACTCATTGCTTGACTAGGGATTACTCATTTTAATTGATTGAATTTCATTAAATTTACATTTCGTTCTTGATTAAAATCCGGAAATTGACAAACCTCCCCCCAATTTACTTGCTTTAAAATACATGTTTACACTTATTCGATGTATGTTCCCAACCAAAAATTCCTTGGAGACGACCTAGGATAACACCCTAGTACTGCATTCATTTCTTTGCATATTTGATGAGGATTAACGACAATCTTTTGCATGACGAGTAGCTAAATATCGTTTCATCAGCAGTCCAGTACACATTAGCAGTGTGCCGCAACTTCCCATAATTACTGCAATTTATCCATAGTTGTGGGCAATCTCTTAGTATGTGTGGCCCTCCACACCTGAAGCACTTGATTGGTCCCCTGAAGGAACCTGAACCTGAGCCACTCCAACTACTCTTTTCTTGAGATGAATTCCTTCTAGACTGAGAATGACTGGAGCTTGAGTATGGCCACTTTGAAAACCTAAAGGGTCTTTTATCTTTCCTTATTAGATCACTCCCCCTAATGTCCACAGTCTTGCCCTTCAAATTAACTTCAAATATCCGACACTTGCTTACCAAAGTGGACAAGTCAGTCAACTGAAACATGCTGACAGTAGCTCTAATCTTTGGGCTCAACCCATGCTCCAACTGAGAACACAAGTCTTCCTCTCCATCCTTATACTGGCAGTGAGGCCAGTACTTCATCAACTCTTAGAACTTTGCTGCATACTCTCCCACGGTCATACTTCCTTGCTTCAGCTCAAGGAACTCACGGGCCTTCTACTTCTTCAGATCTCAGGGAAAGTAGTTTCCCAAGAAGCTCACCTTGAACGCCTCTCATTGAACATAGCCACCCTCTTATGGCAACATCTAACTGGTAAACCTTCACCAGTCTTCAACCTCCCCACATAGCATATATATGGCGTAGTTCACCTTATGTTCTTCCCTACACCCCATCACATGGAAGATCTTCTCCACGTCAACCAACCACCTATAGGCCCCTCGGAGTCAAACCCTCCTTTAAACTTAGGACGATTGTGACTAGTGAAGGCAGACAACCTTCGGTACTCAGCCGGTTCTGCATCTTGATTGTGCACCAAGGCCTCCAAAATTTGGGTCATTCGCTCTAAGAGGTCATTAGTAACTCCAGTTCCTCTGCCTTTACCGGCCATTCTAATCTAGCTTAGCAAATAAATTCAACAAACCACACTTTAAGCCATTAGATCAACAACAACATTCATAAATTAGGTAATCAAAACATTTCAACACACAGCTTAGACGCCTCAGCTCGTTACCCTAGTCCGGTTTGAATGAATTGCACTGATACCAAAATTGTAACCTTGATTTAATTTTCTAAATAAATAAATTTTGCAAAATTGGGAATAATAAAATTTTCATTCAAATGGTTTCCAAGCATAGTTTAATAAAGTATTTCAAAATAAGGATGAATTATAATTTGAATCAAGAATTGATACAGAACTTAATTAATACATCAAATTTTAAAAATAAATTCCTAAATCCTATAGCAGTTTCATCCATCCTTTCACTAAGCTCAGTGTTGATCGTCTTGGTCACCTAAAAAATAAATGTAAGGGTGAGTACTCTACAATAACACACATAAGCACAAAGACTCACCTTGCACATTCCACAAATTTATTGCCACAACTCAGTCATGCATCAACAGGCATAAAACAATAATTCCAATATTTAATTCTCATTCACACACATAGGTGCACTCATTGTACCATCAATTATTGCACATGTGCACGTGCGCTCACTGCACGTTAGCCACGCTCACTGTGGCATTATGACCACAGATTCATTATGCCCTCAACCTCAAGGACTTACTCAGTTTCACACCATGGATGGTCACCGGATAGCTCCTACCTCACAGATACAACATGTGCGATCACAAGCCCCTTAGTAAAGGTGTTAGTCAGAGGCCGAGATAGGAGGAGAGTGTATGGCCTGTGGTGCACCCACGCTCACTGTTGGTGTCACCACTACCCTCTCTTCCCCAAAGTATTTCTATGTCCTCATCTTCCACACCCCCAGTGTATCGCTGAACCATTCATAGTTTTCCAACATATTCAAATACAATCACAATCAATATCAACATGCCATTTTCACACACATTCGACCATTTCATACCATTCATTATCAACAATGACATGTCCACACCTATTCTGTCATATTACACTCAACCACATCATATGTTCATCACAACTCTATTACAATTAAGTCATTCAATCATACACAACATTTACTATTCATCACACACATTTCTCAATATCAATCACATTATGTCATACATCAAATTTCCATTAAAATTCAGTCATAACCAAACCATTCTCATCAAATACACATCATCCCACATTTTATTCTAATCACATTACAATACCCAACACAAGAAACGAATTCTAAGTAAAACGAGATAGGGTAGAGTTCCCTTTTACCTAAATCTAAGATCTAACACAATATAATGGTAGAAAACGGTCCCCACTCAAATTTCATCCCTAAAACACATGGAAAACTCCATGAGAACCCAAGAGATCAAGAAGTGGAACAAAAAACCAAAATCTTAACCATCAAAACTTACCTCCAAATGCTCCAAATGTGACTCCAACCTTCAATCTAGCTTCCGAATGGCTTTGGAGGCAATTTAATATGTAAGAATGGGTTTTTAGTTGAGAGAATTGAAAGGGAAATGAAGAGAGAAGAGTGGAAATGCATTTCCCGAACCCTAGACACTTCAAATCTCAGAGAAAACTGCGCTCTGATTTCTGTAGAATCTCGCTATAACGAGTCACTCTCACTATAGCGAGGCTACAACCCAGAATGCACCCCTCTCTATTGCCTTCTCACTACATCGAGGAGCCTCTCGCTATAGCTAGAATGCTACAGTTGCACCCCCTTCGCCCATAATACTCTTGCTACAATGAGATCGCGACAGATTCATGTCCTACATCCAAGGCCTTCTATTCCTCAGTCCAATTCCAACCAAAAGCCAACATATACGTATTTCTACACATATATTCACAGCACAACAAAGTCACATACACATATCCACATCACCATCATGTAAATCAACACATCAACATATGACAATCCACATATATTTATTTTAATAAATCAAAATATCATTATTACAATTTCAGAGCGTTACACATTACACAAACATCTTTCCACTACTTAACAACTCGGACAATTTTTGCACATTGTCAATTTTGTTGAATATGTTATTTATACTCTACATATGTTACATGTACTTCTATGCCTAAACGATTATAGTACTAGGTGCGCATAACGATAAACCTACCTCAACTAACATCACCTATGCATATAAAGGAACTTTTTAGTCCAATATATTTAGAGGTGAGCAGATCCGATCAATTCATTTCAATTCGTATGAATTTGAACAATCCACTTGAGTAAAAACGGGTATTAATAAATTTTGGATGAATAGAATAATATTTTCGGATTAAAATAGTTAAATAAGGTCTGTGACAGATATAAAATTATGATACTATTGGTATCCAAAACCGACCGATTATATACGTAAAATGTGTAAATAAATAGTAAAGTTGAGTGTTACTTTTTAAATGTGTAAATAAATATATTGCTATCGGTGGATGTTCATTCGTACTAGGTAGGTATTGATTTCATCCCTATATAGATGTACAAGAGTACGTGTGTCTGGAATCCAACAGAGCTTAAGACCCAATAATCCAACATAACATGGTAAAGACAAAATCAATTAGCCACATGAAGTGCACGTCATTGGTGGTGATTAACAGCTGTAATAAAAGAAGCGAAACACGTGGCACACAAGAAGGTAGACCATAATTAAGTGAGCCCCAGGTCCTGTGATCTTCATTAGCATAAGATTTAATCGAATTAATTAATCGACTTATTAAGCTATCTGACGTATCTGAATCTAAATTATTCGAAAAAAAATTAAATAACATTGGATATTTTTTTTAACATTTCAGTTAAGTACAATTAGTTAATTTTTTACTCCAACCCACCCAAAACCGACCCCCGATCACTCTTAGATATATTATCTCACAATCCTATACTTTTTCTCTAGCCAAATTTCCACTTTGGGCGTTATAGTGCGTCCTATAGAAACACCACCTTTTGAAGATCACTAGACCATTATAAGTTACCATAACCGCACTTCGTACCACCCTGTATCAAGAGCTCCGGCCATCCTTGACTTTTAATCAATAATGACCTACCAACAACAATATCCGTGTTGGAACAGGCAAAAATTCCCAATCAAATAGCATCCTGAGACACTAGAATGTTGAGAATAGCAGTCTATCATAGATAAAATTCCAATCCTTATTTTGTTTGAATTAAAAAAAAAAATAGGAGTTTTAATTAAAAATAAAATTAATATATGACTAAATATGCACAAATTTTAAAATAAAAGAACTTAATTAATTAAAAATAAAGAAATCAAAATTAAAAAGACCAAACAGATTAAGCCAAAATTTTATGAACATCGCTTAAGTTTCACGACGAGTCTAAAGACGCCTATCATATTACGAAAGGGTTAATTGGTCTTAATTTTATATATCGTGTGGATTGCTGAGCATAGCACAACACAACAATGCTGAGTCACCGAATGCGGAACGCATTGTAAATAATAAAATAAACGAATTAGAATGAATAGAGGGAGTAAAGAACAAGGCCAATTTAGCTGTCTTCTTAGTGTATGTTCCATTAACATAACAAAATCAACTCCTCTCATTTCAGATCACAAAGAAGTGAAGACATAAACTCATCTCTTCTCTTTTTGTAAATATGGCAACCGATACCGAACCAAAGAAGATCATAATCGATACCGACCCTGGAATCGGTAACATGCTTATCTGGGTTTCAATTTGTTGTTTCATTGCATTTTAATCAATTACAAGTTTCCGTTTCTTTGCTTTTTCTCTCAAAACTGAAATTTGTTTTCAATTACACACTTTGTCTGATTTATTTTTCCAATTCCTTGTTTCTCTGAGAAAATCCCAATTGGTTTATGCAGATGATGCTATGGCAATATTCCTTGCTCTACGTTCACCTGAGATACAAGTTATTGGACTCACAACTATCTATGGCAATGTATACACCACTCTGGCAACGAGGAATGCCTTGCATTTGGTAAAGATATTGGAAGTGTTTCCCAGAAGAGTTTGTTTTCTATGGTTAATCAAGTTGTTGACACTTGACTTCAAATTAAAAAAGTCACCTACTTGCATATGCAGTTGGAGGTTGCAGGGAGAACTGATATACCAGTGGCTGAAGGATCTCATGTGACATTAACTGTAAGTCTGTCATCTCTATCACTTCTTTGATTTTAAGATCGCATCGTTTTCAACAACCTACTGCCATCTGTTTCATGTCCATTTTATTTCCCCCCACTTCCCCATTTTCATTTTGGTAATTGATATGAATGTTTATTTAGAAGTAATAAGTATATTTGTTCTTTAATTGAATGAATATGCGATAATCATATAATTTGGATACTTTACACTATTTGTATTAGATGGTCAGAACACTTGAAATTTTCAATGAGGCACAAATGCATGATAATCTGATGCAGTCAACATGATATTCTTTTCTTCATTTATACCTGAATGATCACAAAATAAGATTTAACCCTTTTTTACACTCAAGAAAATTAATCGATATTTACTGTTCATTTAGATCATATTTCTTTCATTTGCATTGTAATTGATCATCTCACTGAAAATGGTACACAGTATTTGTGGTATGAAATTAGGAGTTCTGCTTCTGCAGTGTATGTTTGCATTTGACGTAACTAATTATTGTAACCCTTGTCTCTGAGCAGAAAGGAGCAAAACTTCGTATTGCAGATTTTGTCCATGGTGCAGATGGACTTGGCAACCAAAATTTCCCTCCACCAAAGGGGAAGCCCCTTGAAGAATCAGCTGCTACTTTTTTGGTTAATCAAGCAAAAGCTAACCCTGGCAAAGTCACCGTCGTGGCATTGGGCCCACTTACAAATATTGCTTTGGTCTGATATATGTACAATTTCAAATATGGCATTTTCATGTTACTCTTCATACTGTGTTCATGACAATGTTTGTATTTTTGCAGGCTATACAGATGGATCCGGAATTCACTAAGAACATTGAGCAGATTGTCCTACTTGGTGGTGCTTTTGCAGTAAATGGCAATGTGAATCCAGCATCTGAAGCCAACGTAAGTGTTCCCATTCTGTATTTAAAACATTAATATAACTTCCATAAAAATATTATATAATTCAGCTCAATCTCTCTAACTCTGGTTGGATTTGGTTCTCAGATATTTGGTGATCCAGATGCTGCAGACATTGTATTCACAAGTGGGGCAGATGTACTTGCAGTCGGGATAAATGTTACACACCAAGTTGTTTTGACAAGTACCACTTTGTCAAATTCCTATGCATCTTTTTCTGCTATAAAATTCGCATTCATTTTGTCTTGCTTAAATGGATTATTTTCCTTTGTGGTTTACAGCTTTTTACTCCTCTGTTTCTTGAACGGTGTAATTTTATTTTATTTTTCTTTCAGGATATATGCTTCTTTTACTAGCAACATTTTATAGGAATATTTTTACTTTTTTTATTTAATAATTTCCATTATATAAAGTTTTCAGCTCAACCGAACCCATAGAAGTATTGTTGGATAAATAGTGAAATAGATTACTAAAATAGTTTCATTTACTGTCTACTTCTAAAGATTTGGTTTTTGACTGAAGTCAATGGTATCCTGTAATCCATATAGCCGACCTCACCTAGTAAGAGATGGCTTGGTTGTTGTATTGTCTACACCCCAACATATTTTGTAGAGCAAAATGGAACAAGTGCATATGCAAATTTTTTCTATTTAAACATGGTGTGTTCATCTTGAATCTATCTATAATAATTTTCTAATGTAATGTGTGTAACAATCAATTAATTTGCACATATTGTACAGGATTCTTGATTTTATAATTATTCATTGGGGTTAGAGAGAATGCATTCATTTTTTCATGGTATTACCATTAGCAACTCTTTGTTCTTGCCAATGGCAGCTAAGTATCTCCATATTTTGGATTGATAAAGACACGGTTCACAAACTGCAAACCCCCCTTTTTGCTGTAATGTTTCTGTCTCATATTCACACTCTTTCAGTATTAATGAGAAAACTTCACACCAGTGAAACAGCATTACCATACTACTGTTTTAATTATGGTTCATGTCATTTATTTTCTTCTGGCACCAGACTCACCCATGCTATGGTTTATTCATCTAAAATAATGACTAGGTTCTGATCGAGAAAAGTTGGCTAGTTCAAATGGAAAATTTGCTCAATACTTGACCAAAATCTTAGATGTGTATTTTTCTTACCATCATGAGGCATACAACACCAAAGGTTTGTCTTCGTAGTGCTTTAAAAAATTGGTAGGACCTAATAATCTGAATTACTAATTATAGTTATTTTGTATCCAGGGGTTTACCTTCATGACCCAGCAACACTTCTTGTTGCTATTGATCCTTCACTTGTAACTTGCATGGAGGGTATTGTTAGAGTCCAAACAAGTGGCATTACAAGGGGACTCACAATGCTCTACAATAAACAGAAAAGGTAGAAAGCAATAGCAGATGATACAAGTCCCAAGAGGACTAAGGCTAATATATAATTTATCTATATTTGTATGCATGTCATTGCTCACTTCGTACCTAGTTCTAATTCTTTTCAAATTATACAAAATATTGTGTTAAGATGGTATCAGATTGCATTTGTCCTGAAACTTTTTCTCAAGAACGAAAGACTGTAGAAATGAATTTCTTTGTTATGTTGAAGCCTTGCTCTTCTAATCCGTTTGAGTTCTCTTCTTATCAAGCACCAAGATTCTTTAGAACTTGTAACATTTCCTTTTGAGCTTCTATTCTTACTTTTCTATATAAGTCTTCTTGTGTTGTAAGCCTTTGTCCCAACCTTTTGTTTGGATACTTATTATTTGGTACTAATCAATTTGCTCATATATTATCCTCCACTCTTGTCTTTGTAAGAACTTAAACCCTTTCATAATTATATTGCTACCCTCAAGACAAGTGCTAGTCCACTTGATCAACTATTCTGCATTGATATTTAAACTTCTTATCCTTTGTAGAGCCCACCTAGCCATGTCTTGATCCTTCTCATTTCAATCCACAGATCTGCACATCAAAGCTTAACACAAACACAAAAGACAATCAAAGCATTCATTGTGGAATTCAGTAATATAATAACATTTTCATTTCAATATGATTTGTTAATCATCAAAACATAATATAAAACCTTTTAACTCGCTGAGTTTTGGACTTACAATATTACCATTTCCATTATTGTTTCTGATTTGTTGCATTACGCACTTGATATTATGCTTTACATGTCAAAAAAAATATGCTACAATGATGAAATAATGTCAAGAGAACTTGCGGCAAGTATCTTAAGCCAGTAAAAATTAGTGGTCCCAGATGGTGTAAACCTCATCCAAAGTATCATCAAATCTAGGTTCCCTTTTTCCTATAAACTCTAGTTTGCCTATTCATTTCATGCAGAACATAGACTTTAGGTGCATTTAGAAACACAGCTTTAACTAAGCGATTATTCAATAAGCTCTGTTTACATGAAAGCTTGTATCATAAATTTGACCATAAAACTTCTTGGAATAAAAAGTCCTTATTTTGATAAGCTATAATGAAAAGCTTATTAGATAAGCTGAAAATAACATATGAAAGCTATGTTCTTCCAAAAGCTCCTTTTGTTCAGTATTCTTGGGAAATTTGCATATGTTGAGGATTCACTTTTTCTCTTCGCTCTCCCTTTTTTCCTTAAAAGGTGTAGAACATTAGGTGTAGAAACAAATTGTTATTAAATACAGTCTACTTTACCTTTTCCTTATGAATCATCCAATTTTCTAAATATTAATTAACCCTTTACTTGATCCTCCAAAGATTATGGTGTTACCATATTAGTCAGGATAAGATTTTTGTCACCAAATCAATCCCTGAAAGATGAAAAATATACAAAATTGGTCTCTGTCACTCTTTATTCTCCTCCATAAAGACAAATACTGTGATGTTTCAGAATTTTAAAGGACCACTTTAATGACAAAATCTATGAAGAAATACTGCAGTGGGATACTAATGTTTGGAGGACCAAGTAAAGGGTCTCTTTCTGTAATGGTTTTCAACTGTGAAAAGGTACAATGTAAGGGACGATTAAATGAAATGGAGTTACACAAACCTCTTTTGTGATAATTTCTTTTCTTCACCTTGTGTTACAAACCCATTGTCAGCATCTGCAGTACATTCTCTGTATGTATTCTCACTTGTATACCTTTGCTGTTTATGATAAGCCAGGTTTGGTGAAATCAATGAATGGTCCAATAAGCCAACAGTAAAGGTAGCTGTTACAGTTGATGCTCCAAGAGTTGTCAAATTGGTCATGGATCGTCTTATGGACTCTTGAAGTAGCTACTATGAAGTGTTCAAATGGCACCATTATTAGTCTCGTCTATGTACATTGAAATAGCACTAAAAAAGCTGTTTCGTTAAATTTCTGTTTTAAAATGCTCTTGAGCTGCATTTCATTTCAACTTCAATGAGAGAGAAAAAACTATGTTGCTTCATTTTCCTTCACTAATTAAATTTTCATTCTTATTCCAAATATCATACAAGGAATGTAACTAACACTGTTTTAACACCCTTAATTATTGACTAGAATTTATTGAAAACTATAAAAGTATAAGAGATAAAAAGTATGCTAAAGAGTGTGTTGCTAACATTCTTCTATCATATATTAACACTCTTGTAATATTTTGTTTGAAACGGAAAACAGAAGAGAAAATGGAAACTGTTGTTAAATTTACTAGTCTTAGTTGGTCTAGTGTAGATAAACTTTTCAATAAATACTTATAAGAGAAAAAATAAAGACTTAATATAAATCAAATTTCTTCCAATTAAAAAATATATTATGCAAGAAAGGTGCAAAAGTTGATTTTAACTTACAAGAAAAGTTTAATTTATTTTAACTCTTTATTTTCTTCTTCTAAGATTATTTATCTCTGAGTTTATCCAAAATGACCCATCTTGATAATTCAATTGCTTGATAGGTGAGTGCATTGTAACAAATGAGTACGTATTAATACTATAAATGAAATAAAGACCGCAAATATAAATCTCAAATTGATGGAAGTAAAAAGGCCTCCCTCTTTTCTCTACGCTAGGCTCTGTTAGAGTTTGCTATGTCAAGCCTTTCATCTGTATGCAGCTTTTGTCAGTCCTTTATATGATTTTTTTAGTTTCGAGGTTGAGGATGAGATGCATTAAAGAGAGTGGGAGTTCAATTTATGACGAGATCGTAGTAGTCATAGGGGAAGGCAATGTTAATGAAGGTATCTTGAGGTGTGAAGAGATCCGTGTTGAGAAGATTATTAATGGAAAGTTTTTCAGAAAGGGGATGTTAGTCAAGGGTTAGCTAATGGCTTATCTATGTAGAGTTTAGGGTTGAGGATACAGAGCAGAAGTTATTCCAGTTTGATCTTGAAGTTTTTATTTTCCTTGTGGTGAAGGGTGGGTTGATGGGTTCATTAGAACACCTTGTTATTATGCAAAGATGGCAAAGAAATGGTGCGACTTGAATTTTGAATACAGTTTGGATTCAGTTTTGGCAATCAATCTAGTTGTTGCACATTGGCTTTGGTTTGTGGCTCATAATTGAAACTACGCTTTGGCAAGCAATGATGTGATGAAGGCCGAAGTCTAAACATGGTGTTTTACTGTTTAAGCTCTGTTTGTTTTATCATACAAACGGCATTTTCACAAATTCCAATACAAGAACATACTTTAAGAACCACTTTTTTCGTACTTTTTTTTTTTTTGTAGGAACCAAGTTTAAATATAAGCCATTACCACAATTCTACAATTTTTAGTGGTCTTCTGAGTCACGAGGAATGAACATAACAATATCTGATAGAATATTTTCTTAAGGAAATGCAAAACTTAAGAATTTCACAAGATGTCTATTGGAAGACTAGTGGATTAGTCATAACAAAGGAGGATAAATAGATCTTCTGGTTTTATCCCAAGTTTTATTTTTGTTTTTGAGGAACATAGGTTTAATGCATGTCTCTGTTGATCATATTCAATACACTCTATCCAATCGTGCCCATGATTTTGTCTCGAGACATGACAAAGGTGAATCCATCTTCTTCTTTAAGCCTCTACTTTTATTTTTAAGGGAGGGGGATTTAGAAGAAGCATACAAAAAAGATAGGCAACCACCTACTTGAGAGATATGCGCATTAGCAAAAAAAATGGAATATATATGCTTTAGGAATGAGTTGAGATACGGAATGATGCATGTATTATCTCTTCCTAGCTTTTCTTTCTCTCTTTGAAAACTGCTTCATCCTTCTGCTACCACTTGATTCTACACTATTGTCTTGCAGCTACTTGAGTATCTTCTACTGTATTGCAACTACTCGATTATTCTGCACTCCCTGAAAACCGCTTCATCCTTGGATTACTACTTGATTCTACACTATTATATTGCAGCTACTATCAATATAAATCAAACTCACCCAGTTATCTCCTATGTTTCTTCTATTCTTGTTTTGAATTGGCTGTCATCCCAGGCTTCTTTTTTTTTTTTTTTTCAAATATTCATAGATTAAAAAAACCTAACAGCAATTACAATCAAAGGATACTAAGTATAAGAGCTTTACGACAATGCACAATAAATACGCAGTAAAAGATCAGGCATCCATACTTAATACCAAATACAACTTAACAATCCTTAAACACTAAACACAATATAATTAAAAACAAATCTCTCACTTTCCTCAAAACAAATCCAACCAGTACAAAAATCTAGAACACGAGTATGAAACTTCGCAAAAGAAGAGAAAAACATCACAAGAAAACGAAAAAAGAAAAACCCCACATGATGGGATAGAGCCCCGCACAAGGAGAGACCCTAAAGATGTTGTCACAACCTCTTGTATTATGTAAGAATAAGATAATTATGCTATAGTTTCCTTTTTGTGGCGTTAAACCACGGTCCATGTTGGATGGATACCACTATTCCTACGCTTAAAGAACTAATTTTGACTATATTTAATAGAAGTAGCTTGTAACTTATTTAGTAACAAGTAATTTATTGACTTCATCAATAAGTTTATAGAGTTATTTGATAAATAAAAAATGAGAAAGGATTGTAATTTTTAAAAGTTAACTTTTCTAAAGCTATTTGAAGAAGTGTGTAGCTTTCAAAAGCTCCTACTAATATTTTTATTATATTTTTTATATTACATTTTTTATTTTTTTTTTAAAAAAGACAACTTATTATCTCACAATTAAAATCTTATATACATACGTTAATCTTATTTTCATTTTGTTCTTTTCACGCTTCCAATAGTTTTGATCCTTTTTTTTTCCCTCCATTTTTTTCATTTATCCTCTTATTTCTTCTATCCAAATGTATTTTATATTTAATAAAATGACTTAGAATATTTCATATTCAAACATATGTAAAGAAAAATTATTTTTTATATATAATTATTTAATTAATTAATGGATGGTAAATAAACAAAATAAGTGATTCTAATTTTAATATTATATTAATTTAATATTAGATCTCCTTTAAATCATTTAACACATCAGTTAATTGTACAACTATTTTACCAAATAAATTTTAATTTTATTAGTTACTTATACAACTATAAATTTTCAACTACAAATTCACAACTTTCAAGTAACTTTAATAAAAGCTAGAAACTCCAACTTTCAACTCATTTTACCAAAACATGGTATTTATCTTTGTTAACACTGCTGTCATGATAACGTGTAGTGGTTTAACAAGCCATACCTATAGTATATGACAACACAAGGAAACGCCGCTAGGCAACAAGAGTAGAGACTGGTGACTAAAACTTTACTGTTTGAACATAAAAAAAAGAAAAGAAAAAAAAAACCCTTGGAGTATTTTAAGAAGAGAGGAAATACCTATTTTAATTCCTCAAATAGAAAGTAACAATCACCTTAAATTATATAAAACAACAATAGAAAACAAAGTAAAAAAGAAAAAACTGAAATGAGTGTTTTTCAAAAAATTAACCACAATAAAATTTTTATAAAAGTCAAGAATTAAAATAATGAATTATAATTTGAGAAGCCAAAATGAGTATTTACCGATTTAGGAGAAGAAATATCAATTTAAACTAAAGTTGACATTAAAACACCTAGATCGTTCCCTCGTCGTTCAAAACTCGCCATTTGGGTTTTGGTGCAGTAAAACTCGTGAAAGCAATATACACCAAATTGTACGGTCGTACAGGTAGGTCTACGAACACCCTAGGTAGAGTAATTCAAGGTCCATAGTATTTACGTATCTCGTGAGGGAGCCTAGAATAGCTCCAATTTGACGAATGCTAGCTACCCCCAACGAGCACCGAAAAACAGAGATCACATACGGTGCTAAATACGATTTAGATTGCAAAAGCTTGTGGCAAAAATAGAATCCACCTTTAAAAAGGCAATGCATTTGAAACTCCAGGATACAAGACTATCATCGTCCAACCATAATCGTAAGTCATTTACTATATAATTTTACAATAAATTCAAGCAAAACATCATCAAGTTATAAGAAATATGGAACGCCTGTCCTCGGTCCCCTCATCTGGTTGTTCTCCTCTGTTTCAGTGAAAAATTTAACTTCTCTCTCCTATTACAATAAAAAATGTAAGTGAACACATAAAATGCTAGTAACTTCTAAAGCATGATCACAGCCATGAAAATCCAAGCATCATAATTTTACAACCATTGCAACATCCAAGTATCATCCACGCTACAAGTTTATAATTTTTATTATGCCTGACACATTCTGTACAATAACAATTTTATTAGCAAATAAATAGTTGGGATACAGGATGTAAGATAGCAGATTCTACTATCCCAGACAAATCCAACATCATCATCACCTTAATGGCAAGTAACAGCAGCCGCTCAACTACCACCAACACCAACAACAACAATAAAACTTTATCTTACTAGGTGAGATCGGTTACATAGATCACACAACGCCATTGCGCTTGATCAAAAACCAAATTTGCAAAAATCTGATTAATCAAAAGATCTCTTTAATAACTTTGTATAAAGTTCTTTTAGGTCTCCCTCGACCCTCTTTACCGAACTAAGAATCATACAATTCACTCTCCTTACTGGCACCTCCAAAGGTTTTCTCTGCACATGACCAAACGACCTTAGACGATTTTTAGTCATTTTTTTAATTATAGGTGCTACTCCAATATTCTCTCGAATAATATTATTTTATATCTTATCTTTTCTTGAGTGTCCATTCATCCACCTTAGTATTCTCATTTCTGCCACTCTCAATTCCACTTTTTTCTCATGTTCCTTTAAGGCCCAGCATTCCCTACCATATAGGAACCAAAACTCACAAATATTAACGAGTACAAGAAAAGTACATATTTTTGTTATTTAGTCCCCATAAGACACGTATTGCTTCTCTGTACAATTTTCCAAAGTGGCTTTATTTAGTAATGCTAGACTGCTTGACCCAACATGTCGCCTAGCTCAAAAAGCCCTAGTGCAACTTGACAAGGATAGATACCCCTTGGGAGGATTTATACTAAACAACAGGTGAGCATGATGTATGCTTATTAATATACAAAAATGAAAAGACAAAAAATTCAGAACACCATTTGAAAAGATTTTCCACTATTAAAGTCACTAAAAGATTTGATTTTATGCTAAAAAGATCTACGACAAAAGCTATATATATTTTACAAAAGTCGATAAAAAAGTATTGCTATAACTGCAACAACTAAGCCTTATCCCACTCAATGAAGTCAACTATATGAATCATACAATACCATTGAACTCGATCAAAAACCAAGTTTAAGAAATTTGGTTAATCAAAAAAGACCTTTTTAATAACTTCATTAAAGCTTCTTTTAGGTCTCTCTCAACCCTTTTTTACTGAACTAAAAGTCATGCAAGTCACTCTCCTAACTGGTGCCTCCAAAGATCTGTTCTACACAGTGACCAAATCACCTTATGCGATTGAGTCATCTTTTTCATTATGCGTGTTATTTCAATATTCTCACGTATACTATCATTTCTTCTATCCTTTCTTATACAACAACCCATCAACCTTAACATTCTCATTTCTACCACTCCTTTAAAGCCCAACATTCACTACCATATACGATAGCTTATCGTATTGCAGTTCAGTAAAACTTTCATTTTAGCTTAATAGTTACTATACGATCACAAATAACTAGATGTTTTCCTTCACTTTAACCATCCAACCTGTGTTCTAAGAGCAACACCTTCATTAATTTCTCCATCATATTGTATAATCAATCCCAAGTACTTGATCCTAGAAACTTGTACTATAATATTATCTCCAATTTTAACTTTTAACACACCATCCCCATCTTGTTTTTCTCTAAATTTACAATGCATATATTTTGTCTTACTCTACTAAAGCGAATATCCTTAGATTTTAAAGTCTTTTTCCATAACTCAAGTTTAGCATTAACTTCTTTTGAATCCTCAACCAACACTGTCATCCGCTAAAAGCATACACTTTAGAATAATCTTTTATATGTCACTTATAAGAACATCTAAGATTAGATTAAACAAATAAAGACTCAAAGAAAAGCCTTAATATAAACCTATTCTTATTGAAAAGTTCTTAGATACACCTCCAGAAATTATCACACAGATAATTACCTTCACATATGTCTTGTATAGCCTAAATATATGTTATACAGACCTTTTTCTTTTCTAAAGTCTTCTATAACATTTCTCTAGGTATTCAATCATATGTTTTTTCCAAGTCAATAAAAATCATATAAGTCATATTCTTTGTAGCGATATTCTTTTATCATTTTTAATAAAAGATATATATCTTTTGTTGTAGACCTTCTTGGTATAAAACCAAATTAATTTTCTAAAATCTTAGTTTCTCTTATATTCTATGTTCAATCATCTTTTTCCACAACTTTGAAGTGTGACTCAAATTTAATTCCTCTATACTTTGCACAATTTTGGAAAAAGATTTATGTATGGTTTTTATTAACTTAAAAACAGCATATGATTATGTACGAAAAAAGTGTTGCAGAAGGTTTAAGAAAGAAAATGAGTTCATGTAATATACTAATATATATATTCGAGCTATACAAAACATGTATGAAAGGATAACTACATGTGTGAGAATTCTTGAAGGCATGTCTAAAGACTTTCTTATATGAATAAGTTTACATCAAAGCTCCACCTTAAACCTTTACATATTTAACCTAATCTTAAATATACGTACAAGTGACATACAAAAAATTATTTCAAGTGCATACTCTTTGCAAATAAGAGTGCTGGTTGAGAAACCAAAAGAAGTTAATACTCAACTTAAGTTATGGATGGAGACTTTAGAATATAAAAGTTTCACTCAAGCAGAAGTAAGACAGAGTATATACATTATAATTTTAGCACAAAAAAAATGACTATGCTTTGAAAGTTAAAATTGAAGATCATATTATACCACAAGTCTCTAAGTTCAGATAGTTGGGGTATGAAATTAACAAAGATGTTATTTATTGTACAAGTTGGGTGATTAAAGTAGAGAAAATCATCGACTATTATTTGTGATCATAAATTATCTATCAAACTGAAAAAAAAGTCTTATTGTATTGTAATGTGACTAGTTATTGTATATGATAGTAAATGTTAGACCTTAAAAGAACACAAAAAAAAAAGTGAAAGTGACTAAAATAAGAATATTAAAGTGGATGGATGGTCACATGAGAAAAGATAGAATAAGAAATGTTTGTATATGCAAGAATATTGGAGTAGCACTTATAATGAAAAAGGTGACAAAATATCATTGAAGGGATAAGATTTGGTTGTTGTTAATGTTATAAAGTCACTAAAAGATTAGAAAGAAAAATATAGAAAGATGTTGGGGCAATTTATGTAAACTTTTGGAAGAAGTAAAACATATGTGAAGGGAATGGATCCTCTCTTTTTAAATTTTCTTGTAACCTTGTTGCGTAAAAATTTATCTCTATCTCTCTCTTCATAGACATTAAATTGGCGGGATCATAATATCAATAGTTACGAATATTTCTGGAGAGAGTTTTCACATGACAGGGTCATGTGAAAATTTAACATGAAAGGATCCATTTTTGTCATATGAATCTTTATTCATAGAGAAATTCAAACGATAAAAGTCAAAGCACCAAACCCATACAGCAACTGCAAGTAATTTATATAGGTCAACACTCTAACTACAAACCAATTTGTAACAATGTTATGTTATAGTCAAGTAACTGAGTAAGTACTTACATTGCAATAGTTATCTATCCAAAATCTCTAGTGTAAATAAATAAATAAAGGCATTAGTATTTTCTATCACAAATATTCGGTCTCAAATGAAATATGTCTTCACATTGTCCCTGTATAATCTTCCATTCTTCACCAAAAGGAAAATTTCAACATGGTAACAGTAGCATTGTGACCTAATGCTGAGTTTCCACAGCAATTTCAAAAATTTGGAACGGAGTTTACTTCCCACAATTTCACTCTTTTTTATGTTGGAATCATTCTAGTTTATTTTGTTCACTATCTCCTTCCTCTCCTGCCTTAAACATTTCACTTCCCCCATTTCTTTCATTGCTTTGAGAAGCCTAAAAAATGTTTGCAAGCCATAGTTCACAAAGCCTAATACAGGTGGTGATTAGTAAAGCTCTCTAATTTACAAATTTTCCTAGTTTAAATTTGACAATTCCTATGTTAAGTTGTTTATATGTAACAAGCAGAGTTACTTCAGCTTGAGTGGGTGTGTTGAGAAATAGGAATGCTTTTAGTTAAGTAAGCATTTACTTGTAGTTCAACCAAAATAAAGGGTTTGGTTGTCAATATGTGTATGAATCTGAGTGTCATTCCACCCAAGCTATTCCATCCAATCCCTCTGTAATTTCTACATAAGTCATGTTTTTAGCATCAATAAACTAGTCATCGTTTTATATGATAGTAATGTATCACAATTCATCATCAATAAACTAGTCATCGTTTTATATGATAGTAATGTATCACAATTCATCAAAGCCTCAGTAAGTAGTCTAGAGAAATATTTCATACATTCCCTACATCTCCCTTTTACCATTTTTCATCTGTGCCTTGTAATTTCAACTCTACAAGAACATATATGTAACTTCATACATAACTTTATCAATACTTTTATAATGTTTCTTTATAAATATTTTACAGGATTTTAGTTTGTTCGAAGTTTAAACCCATGTACAACCTGGTTATTTAATCCATATAAAAATCCAGGTATGTTAAGGCCACTAAAAAAACAAACAATAAACCACAATCCATAATCAGGAGAAGCAATAATCCTGCCTAAAGAAACACCTTTTAGCTACCACCTCATCATGTATTCACATTTCAGACTTAGCAAGCAGCAGCTTGGAGACAATGCAATCACCACACTCCCCCATCTTCTTTTCTTCCTCAAAGATTGCTCTCTCAGAACCCAATTATAAATTAAAAAAATCTAGCGATCATGAAACTGATCATTTTGAATCCAGAAGAAATAATCAGCAGAGTGCAGAACTCTGATTCTACCAGTACTTGATAAAAACCTCGTAACAGTCAATAAACATTAGTTTCTTTGATACACAAAAGGTGACTGACCACATAGTATGCATGTCAGTATTCAAACTGTATTTGACTCACCATCTATCCCTCAATAACTCATTTTGTAGCAATATTCAAATATAGAGAAAAAATGTCCCCACTTCCAACATCTGTAGGGGTAGGAAAACATGTATTCTTCTCCATCTCTCAATTTCTCTAATATGAAGGTCATTCAAGAATGAATAATGTTTGATGCATCAAGGAAAGAGGCCATGATTTATATCACACAGATACAAGACATGCAAAAAAAGAAAGGCATCACAAAGACACAAACATTGCGAGACTGAATGATCCAATAACCAACCAATATAATCCTGAAAACATATTTAAAAATAAAACAAGCTTCAGGTGACTCACCATATTTTCATTGAAACTAAGAATAGAAGCTACATTTCCACAACGGTAACAGTAATTAGGTGCAGACCACACCTGCAAAATTCAATAGAATTATTGCATTGACCTCAATTTTCAAATGAGACGATAACTTAAATTTTTCAAAAGTTAAACACAACAGCAATTAAGCTTTATCCCAGAAGGCACAATTGCCTAAATGCATTTACCCTGTCAGAAACCAAGTCATTAGTAAACCATTTAGAGCAAAGTCTTCTTAAATAATTTCTACCTAGTTTTCTCAGGTCGTCTCCTATCCACATTTTTTGGTCTTACTAATAAATTTCCCCATCTCCTACAAATCCTCGCTCAAGGCATTGTTTGGAACTGCCTTTCCCAATAAGTGCTATTCCACAAGTTGGAACCTTATACATTGTAGAGACCCCTCAAATGTTAAAATCAAGCTTGCTTACAACTTGAGCCACCTCTCCAGGGTTTCCTCTACCCATTTTAATTGGACTATTTCTTGCTAGAGCTTCAATCAGTCTTCTCACTTGACAAACCACCTCAAAAAAACATGCTAATTAAAAGAATGAAAAAACATGAAAATCATAAATTTTCAAAAGAAACAGATACATACAGTTACAAGGCCTTTATCTTGGAACATGTACTTAAGACCTTCTTGAACAAGTTGGTGAGCCCGACAAACAAGATCAAGATTGTTTATGTGATTGAACTGCATGAAATCAATGCACTTGTAAAATCCAGACGTAATTTTCAATTCAATAAGCAATAGACAATTAAAATACTTTACCTCAGAAGTGACCCGGGATCCAAAAAGCCAACCTGCTCCACGAGGACTGACTGCCCATGTTTCAATATCTTCAGGATCACTCCACATCAGATCACAAAATGGCCCCTCATGAGGAATTTCACAGTTCCTTTCAATAACCCTTATCTGGCATATGACAATATTTAAACCAATACCTATATTATTCACAGTTCACCTTTAAAAACCAATATTTCAGTTATACAAGTAATGGTTGTCAAACTCATGAGTCAACTCGGACTGAAACAGGTAAAAGCTTCAACCCAAGGAAAACAGAGTCTAGGTGCATGAAAACTCCTCAGTGAGTAGACATGGATGGATCTGGGTAGATACCCACATAAACTCATTAATCAAGGGCAAGTCAGAGAGTCCACTGGGTCATGTTATTTTTGCCTAAAATGCAGCAGCTTTTTGTATTCCTAAGTCAGCTAAAGTTTTGCATAACGCAAAACAGTTCATTTATGCCTCACCTTTTTCAACATTTAGCATCATAGCTTGACCAAAATGCAAACTGATCCACATATCCATTGATTCATTCCCGTCACTGATAAAGCTCAAGTTGCCTATTCATTGCCACCAGTGTCAGAGCTCAGGTAGCTCATGCATTATGCATTTCACAATTAAAGTGTCTGGTTGCGTTGCTCAACCAAAGTTGCAGCCTCTCTCATTCTGTTCTGGCTGGCTCTGTTAGTCAAAGGTTGTCCTTATTTTGGTTCTGTTGCTCCTCCTTGCTGTTTCTGTTGTTTTCCTTTCATGGATTGGTTAATTTTGCGGTACAGTGCACTTTGTTGATTGATTAATTGTATGGTACTGCTTTTTTCATTGATTTTCAGGTTCAGTGTAATACTGTGGTTGATTTGTTGATTGTAGTGTTTGGGTAAATTGCTTGCCCATATGAACTTATGATATGATCATTTATGTATGATTTTAATCTGTCCTGTAATACTTTGCCATGTGGTTTGCTATATTATGAAGTTGGAATGTTGATTATTTATTCTGCATGTTGCATTAAATTCTGCTTGGATACTATTATAGGTGTTTTAAAAATTACTTTGGCATTAGGTAACGCTTTCTGAGTTTAGAAGTCTAGTCTAAAGAGGCTCTACTAGTTTATGTAGACCCTTGAGTTTGACAACCTTGCAAAAATAACTGTAAAAGAACCCAACAACCTATTAAGTGCTTTAGTTGCAGTGTTGAAAAAGCAACTTGAAGAATATAGACAATTTTTATTCAAGACTTAGATTTTGTTACTTATAAAAACTAAATTCAACAAATTCATTAAAATGAAACAGCAAACAATTTCTAAAGTCAAACAAAAAGTAAAAACAGATAACATTATTAATTCACAAGTAACAAAAATATTATTAATTCAAATTGAAAAGTAAATACGACAAATGAATCCAACTCTTTGCCAAATTATCAATTTGTCCAAATAGTGATATTTTATTCTCTTAATAGGCAGGGATGTATGGGGCAGAAGAAAGAACCAGCAAGCTAATTTAAATAAACACCTCACATCATGTAACAAGCTAAGATGTAACAAATATAAGCACATCATGATATGCATCAGCCCCACACATAAAGTATCAAAAAACAGAAAAAGCACAAGGCTAGACATATTCACAAAGACAAAGTTAATGTGGAAAATTCCAAAAACTTTATTTGAAAAGATATAAACCACATCAGGCCAAAATACATTTGCAAGTTGATGTAGCACAAATTTGGTTTTTCTTTATTTTTAACCAAAAAACAATATTTAAGATAAAATTCTGTCTTTTTTATTCTAACCAAGCCATTCAAATCCATGCAGTCTTAAACAACATTGAGTTTAACCAGCAACTGAATAGAGAACCTGATCAATTGTTCGAATGTCTGGAGAAAGGCCACCATGAACACAAAGCACCTGGATCAATCAGAGCAAAAACAAGACTTAATTTTTAACAGAACTCAATAAAAAATCTCATGCACTGCACTGCCCACATGCACATAAGGAATAGAAGAAGGACTGGGGAGTAAAAAAAGATTTACAGTTCCATCTATAATTGCGGACAGTGTAAGATAGTCAAAAACATCTGTACAATATCGCCAAGCATTAGCATTTCCATACTTTCTCTGGCATTCATCGTAAAACCCATAGACCTAGCAAAACATAAAAATACAAAATCAACATAAAATTGCAGAAACAAAAAGATAGTACAAAACACAGTACAATTTCTTATCTTAGCATTTTCACAATTCACATCTTATCTATATGGTCTAGCAATACAAATTCATAAATTTTGACATTTTACAACAGAAGAAAAAAACAAGCAAAACAAAAATGATAGATCACAAGTCCCTAAACAGCTCAATAAGTTAAATAATCAAAGAAATCCTAATCTTTTAACAACAAAATATCATAACTTCATCATATTTGCTAATCCAGTCAAACAATGGAGCCTGATTACAGAAGGTAGATCCATAGATATATAAAAAGGGCAACCTAGTGCAGGATGCTCCTGCCTTGTGCTTTTGTTTTAAGATGTGCTTCACTTGCTTTTAATGTTTCCTATCTGTGTATAAGTCTTTGAAAAGTAAGATAATCTGAAGTACCAAATGAACCATTATGATTCCTTGTTTCAAGTCTAACATAATGTGTGACTATAATAAAGGAATAAAAAGGCCTATTTGTAGGTTTGGTCCCCATACTTTTTAGCCTATGTGCAATTTTAGTCCCCAAAGTTTCAATTGCTTACATTTAGTTCTCTCATAACTTTCCAATTGTTCAAGTTAAGTCCCTCACCTCAAAATTCCATCCAAAGGTTTACCAAAAGGTTTACCATATCATTCATATATATAAATTACCAAAAGAAAATATGTATAAATATTTAAATAAAAAAAAATGCATAAAATGTAGTGGAAGGCACCTTTTTTTTATTTTTATTTAATGGTTTTATATAAGACAAATTACATTCACACCCCCTGAGGTTTAACCAAATTTCACTCGATACCACTCCTTTTTTTTACATTACTTCAACCTCCCCTGACTCACATAACTGCATAGGGATGGCTTGTGTAATTGAGAAGGGTATGCAGTGTTATGTTGTTAAATAAATTAAGGGAGGTTCATATAGGGTGAAGGAAAAAGGTATTGGATGAAATTTTATTAAACCTCAAGGGATATGAGTGTAATTTGCCCTTTTATTTTTTATTTTTTTTCCTTTGTGAATCTACACAAATCAATGTTATATCACACCTCTGTTACAGTTCTAAAATTCTAATAGTCATTGGATAAAATTTTGGCATGAGATTTAATTTGAACAATTGGTAAACTATGACAACTAAATGGTAGTAATTAAAACTAAGGGTGATCAAAGCACATAGGCCAAAGCACAAGGATTAGAAGTGCAATTAAGGCAAAAAAATTTTAAGAGTAAAACCAATTTTAGATCCCATGCAACTCCGGTTAGCTATAGGTAATTTAAAAGTCAAGGTTGTCAAACTCAATACTCACTGATGAAGCTACAATAAACTTCACTCGTAGGCTTGACTTGTAAAAGCTTATGTAAAAATATTTAAAAAAAAAAACTATGATAATATTCAAATAAAAAGTAAAAGCTTATCACATGTCATACTAGAGACACGCAGATATGGACTTGCATGCATGTAAACATGATGAGTTATCATTTGATTTGGCTCAAAAACTGAGCTCCGTTCACAGCATTATTAAAATCACATCAACTATAGTTATATTAGATTTTGCAACACCGTATATTTCTCTGCCAAGCTAAAAAGTCAGATGAACTATTTTCTGTTGTTCCAAGCATAATGAAATCCAGATGAAACATACGCATCTAAATGCATTAAACATACATTTTTCTTAACACCAGAGTGTCGCTTCTGGTGATTGGACGTGTGTTTATGAAATTTTAATATATATGCAGACATACACTTCATCAAGACACCACAGCGTAGCTTCTGGTGATTGGACGTGTGTTTATGAAATTTCAACATATATTCAGACGTACTGATAGGGCCCAAGATGAAGATGGGCCAAGGGAAGCTTTAGTCCAAGATGAAGTTGCTGGACCTAAGTCATGGAAAGTATATTTTCGTAAGAGAAACAAAAAGATGATGGGTGCTGAGTTGGCACAGAATTAGTTGGGGTAAGGAGTGTGCGGGTGGTTACATAGTGGGGGCAGAGAATGAAGAGGGTATCTTTTTGGGTATTATCTTTCTGTTAGGATGGACAGCCACTGAGTTCTCTATACGAGCTGTAGCTCTGGGTAGTGGAAGAACACATTTCTCCTCTATAATTTTCCTTTTCAATCTCATAACACACATACTTGTTCTTTGCTCTAGCGTTTTTTTTGCCTGCCATTTCTTGTTTTTTTCTAATTTCTGATTACAGGTCTGCATCACATACACTACATCAAGGCCCCTACTTTTTACACCAGGACCCATGACATAACATGCTGTTAGCTTTAGAATATGGCCTAATCCAGACATGCACCGTTGCTATTCAAAAGAGAAGACAAAACAAGTTACCCAGCAATATCAAAGGAAATTTTCAAGCTTCCACTAAGTCTAAAAATTTCAAGTTTCCAGTAGTGATGCACAGGTCAAGAACCAAGTCAGGTAACCCACGAATAAAACCCCACCAAGGCTAACTAACATAGTTCACATTATGTATTGCAGCAACCAGGTTTCCATTTCACATATTGCCAAACCTCAATCTATGAACCATGAGATTCTGTTTGCAGCCTGAACTACATTAGTTATCAAGGTCATTTTAAAACTTATACAACCATCTCTAAACCTTCATTGCAGTCTCTAAACCTTCTATATTACCTATTCATGTTAATAAATTTCAAAAGGACCAAATTTAAGATTACTAAAGGCTTAATTCAAATTCTTCTTTTAATCTTGACATTTATTGAAATTTGAAACTAACTATGTCTCAGTGATTTCAACAGCTCAAGCAACGTGGAAAACAACATAGTAAGAGGACATGCAATGAATGAAGTCATGCATATAATCACAACATCACAAACACTATCTAAGATTAGAATTGGCATATGTTAAAATGACATCCATGAAGCAAACAAACAATCAATGAGACATGTCAGGTAGAAACCTTCAATGAAGTTTCCTCTTTTGCATAAGTTGTTTACTAAAAATTAAATCCTATTAGTCTAGAAAAATTCATGCCGGGTAGAATTGCCATGTACATGATAGAATAAAAGCATACCTGTGTTAATTGTCTACTTTCATGGTTTCCACGTAAAAGGGTAATATTAGCTGGGTATCTATGAAATTAATAAAAAATAAAGGATGCATCAATAAAAAAAAAAGTAATTATGAAATCACAATAATTATAATTCTAGTTTCTAACATTTGAGATCCAAACACGATCAATAAATCAGAACCACAAGGAAGCTAAAAAAATAGCATTACTCGAAGTCACATGAACAAGTTAACGCAGATGCAAGCATACATGGAAACAACACATTACACACCTAGCTTTTAGAAGCAAGAGGATGGTGAATACTTCCAGACTATTGTAACCCCGATCAACAAAGTCTCCCTGCCACATTAGGAAGATATAGCACTCAAGAAACGAGATGCTGTAAAAATGCATGATGACACCCTCGAGTTCCAAAAGAGAAGTGTAGTATGTACCATAAAAATGTAATTTGTCTCCGGCACGTGACCCCCGGTCTGGAAAAGTTTCATTAGATCATGAAATTGACCATGAATATCACCACAAACAGTCACTGGACTATTCACAGGCTGCACATTTGACTCCTCAATAAGGATCTCTTTAACCTGAAATATTAATCGTCGGTTCAATTTAAATTTTAAGCTGAAATGTAAAACCTGCAACATGGCACAAGTTATCCCTAGCGCCAGAATTACAAAAAGAACAGTAATAGTACTGCAGATAAAACACAGCAATGACCAAAAAAACAAATGCACACAGCATATCCATCAATGACAAACAAAGCCCTAAAGTTTGTTTCTGATGCACATCGGCTCTTCCGATACGAAAAGCTGCGCAACTAACGAAAACAAGCAAGTGATTGATGTGGTTCGTTTGAACACTTGAAAGACTTAGCGTAAGCCGAAATAGAAATTGAAACTGAAACCCTAAATGGAGAAAGCGAAAAGCGAACAGAAAGCGTACATATTCGCAAAGAAGTTGAAGCTCGTCTTCGAGAAGATGTTGGCCATCCTTCACCTTTGCGATCCACTGGTCCAAATCCATCTCTCACTTTCTCTGCCCTCCGCGCTGCCAAACACTACTCCTAGTTAGGTTCCCCCCAGTCAACAATAAACCAATTTTTAGGATCTTATTATTGTTTTCTTTCTATTTCCATAACGAAATGAAATAACTCTGACCCATCACCAATGTTACCTATTATTATTATTATCTAAAGTGAATTTCACTTAGAAACAAAACTAAGAACCTTTAGGAATTATATTTTAAAAATTATTACTTATTTCTTTTTTAAGAAAAAAGACAACATTAAGTAATTATATATTTAAAAAATTAAATAAAATTTATGCTTTTTTTATTTGTGATTTTCTCATTTGGGTTTATATTTTTTATACTTTTTAATCAAGTTCTCCAAAAACTTTCTTCATTCTCATTTAATCTCTATAACAATTTGCTAACGTACCTCTCTATTACTTATGTGGCACACAAGTTAGTTCTTATAAATATGCCTTAGAGATGACATAGATGATGATGATGTGCCATTAACCTTAACTCCAAACTTCCAACACTTAACTTTCATGTTTATGTAATACGATTTTATCGGTAGGACAATAATGTTAATAGTATTTGCTTTGTCAAGTTTGAAAGCAAGGTTGGACAAAAGATTGCAAGAAACAACTAGTGAAATTTATCTCACAAATAGGTGAAAATTCAACAAAGATGTTCTTACAATGCCCAAATCAAATAGTAGTATCTATGTGAACTTGACTTTTTAAGTTTTGGAATTATCATTCTATCTACTATATGTAGTTGTTGTCAAGTTAGGTGATTTGTTATTAATGTAAGCAATCAATATGAATAAGCTAATGTATGTATTAGTCAACTTGTTATCAGGTGATACTGATATAATGATTGTAATGTACTCTAATTTGTTATTTAATATACTTTCTTTTGCATGGTCTTTAATATGCTTTCCAAAACTGCAAAACAAGTAGAATTGAAAGTAAATGAAGAGTTAAGAAAACAAAGTATGCATACAAGAATATAAAAACATACCAAAATGTCATTCCAACTCCAAAATATTTCAAGTTTAATATTAATATTATATTTTCATTTTGGAATTTGATTATGAAGCCAAAATTACTAAAACTAAGAACTTTTATATTTTTTTTTATACCCAAAATTTTAACGCTAACACAATTTTAATACATAGATAAAACTATATAACATTTTATTAAATATATAAAACTATGCACAAATTTTGTCTTATTATTTTTCATTTATTTTTCTATTATTGTGTTAGTTTTAGTCGAACACTTTGTTCACATTTGAGAAAGCATTCGTTAGCTATCATAGTTCTTTATTGTATATTTCGTGATAGCATTTAAAGTTTGTTAATGTCTTCTAGATTTCTTTTAGGTGAAGTTAGAAGTAGTTTGTTAATGAATATTTGAATTTTTAGCAGTTGAAGAAGTTTGTGTAAAGAATACTAGTAATTTTCTAACCGGATTTGTAACCTTTTACATAGTTAAAGTCCTATATTAGTCACAAGGATCGGATGTAACTCTTAATGATTAACAAGATTATTTTGTGAACATGGTTTTTTTTATATATAAATTATCTTTTTTTTTAAAAATTAACTTAGTGTAGCTTTTTTTATTATTATAAAGGAACTTTATTTACTAACTTAAAAAATTGCTTTCAATTTTCTTCTTTGATTAAAAAGAGAAATAATAATAATAATATATTTTTTTATCATACTCTTATTTATTAGTTAAAATAAATTAAAATTATAAAAATATGTAAGAGAAACAAATAAAAAAAATGAAACTCAAAAAATTTATAATTTTAGTTAATCAATCAGTATGTTTCTAATATAACAAACATCTTTTGTGTAACATCTTGCACTTTGATTTAAAGAAAATGAGATTTATTAAAATATAATTGGAATAGATTTGGATAGAATTTGTAAAATAAATAAATGTGAACAATGACCGTGAACAGTGTTTCTAGTATAAACAGTAAATTTCAAAAAATTTCAATAAAAAAAGGAGTTTCACATGAAATTTTCATTTTTTCACTCCTATCCAAGATTCTCAAAGATTCTAAGGATATATCTCACTATTTTCTCTCATACTAAACCCTCCTGAACTTATATTTTTCTTCAGATATATAATTTTACGTCCATTCTAAAGAATTTCAAGAAAAACTTCGTTCTAAAGTTAAATCTTCAGTTAAATCTTTGTAAAAGCTCTGTTTTGAGGTAAGGGGGCTCTACTTTATTATTTTGTTATGTTTATTACTTGTATTCTCATAGATCTTGTAATGTATGTGATTATATGTGAAATAATCATTGTTTTATGAAAAATAATTGATGAAAAGTGAAAATAAATGGTTGTTTATGTGATTTTATGATGAATACATGGTGAAAATGTGATATTATGTTTAAATAGTGCATGATAAGGTATATTGAAGATGGTTGATATGATTTTATGATTTTGTGATATGAAATATACAAGGAGATGAATGTTTCATGTTTGAATATATTGTGTTACATGTAAAAAAGATGTGTATTGTGAATATGTCATGGTTTGATGTATATGATGAAAAGTATGTGGAAATATAATGAAAAATATGTGTGAACATGAGAAATGGCATATGTGAACATGTGAATATACTTGAAAAAAGATATGATGTAAATAGTTACAGAGATACACTGGGGGAGTGGAAGATGGAGACGATATAGGATATCTTGCAAAAATGCAGGGTAGTGAGTGACATTCAGGATTGTGCACGGAATATTATGTACGAATGCACCACATGACCGCACTCTTGTTTCCCGACTTGACTCTTGACCATTACATTTGCTAAGGGGCTGTCTATTGCATGCGTTGTATCTATATTGCATTGGGTCATTCAGCGACTATTTACATGGATATGTAAGACCTCGGGATAGAGGCATCAGGTAATTATGGCCATAGGGCGCGGTAAGCGCGGGTAAAAAGGAAAAGAAATTATGAATCTGTGGAATATAATATGTGTTTATGTATTAAGATAAGAACTTCTTTTATAAGACACTGTGATATGTAATACCATAATGTTTTCTTTAATCGTGATAAGATGTGTTTTATGATGAATATGTGTTATGTATAAGTGGTAGGGTAGAGACTCACCCTTACACAACATTTTTAGGAAACCAGGACGAATAGTATCAGGCTCACAGTGCATTGATGGATGAGAACTGCTATAGAACTTAGTTATTTTGAGTTATGTAATGAATATTTTCAGTTTTATAACATTCTTTTGAAATAGTTGTAAAACTACTGTTTCTTTTTGTTGCTGATGAAAATTTTAGAAATTTTATTTTTCTAAAGTACTTATGAAATAATGAAATTTTACTCTATGAATCTTATATCATTTTATTGTTTCTTTCTCATTAGAGTGTTTTTGAAAGAAAATTTACTTTTCCATTTAAATTTTTATGAAAATTTATGATATATTGAGAAAAGAAATATAAGGCGTTACAATTTTGATATCAAAGCAGTTCATCCAGACCAGATTAGGGTATGAGACTAACATGTCTGTGTTGTGTAATAGATATACTGGAATATGAAATGATTATTTGCTAATATGACTTGTTAGATGTGAATTACCTAAACTAGATGTATCTATGTGTATATGAATGATAGATTTAATAAGTGATTTGAGTTTATTGCGAGATTAGAGCTATGGCTGGTAGAGGTAGACATGCTGGTGCTACAAATGAACTCTTGGAGCGCATGACCCAAGTCTTAGAGACTTTGGCACATAACTAGGAGGCTGAACCAGCCGAGTATATAGGACTTTCTTCTTTTACTAGGCATAACCCTCCGAAATTTGAGGGAAAGTTTGATCCTAAGGGAGCTCTGAGGTGGATAGCAGATATGGAGAAGATTTTCCATGCCATGAAATGTAGAGAGGAGCATAAGGTAACTTATGCTACTTATATGCTGAGTGGAGAAGCTGAGGACTAGTGGAGATTTGCTAGTCAAACTCTATTGCAAGAAGATGGTTATATTCCTTGGGAGACATTCAAGGCAAGCTTCCTGAGAAATTATTTTCCTAGAAATTTAAGGAAACAGAAGGCTAGAGAGTTCCTTAAGTTGAAATAAGGAAACATGTCTGTAGGTGAATATGCTGCTAAATTTTATGAATTGATGAAATAATGGCCTCACTATCAACATAATGATGGAGAGGAAGATTTATGTGCTCAATTTGAGCATGGGCTGAGGCCAAATATTCGAACTACCATTAGTGCATTTCAGCTGATAGATTTACTTACTCTAGTGAGTAAATGCAGAATATTTAAAGCCAATACTAAAGGTAAGACGGTGGATACCATAATTGGTGGTCCTGTGAGGCAAGACCGAAGGCCTTCAAGATTTTCTAGAGGACTGTATCTCAAGAAGATAGTAATGGTGGTTCTGGTTCTTTCAGAAGACCACTAAAATGTTTCAAGTGTGGTGGACCTCATATTAAAAAGAATTGTCCTCAACAACTCCACCAACATGTGACATTTGTGGGAAAATGAGACACTTTGCAAGTATTTATTGGTCTGTTCCACAAAAGAGCAGAAACATGAGTGTGGTACAAAGACTTGAATCTAGAGCAAGCACTGGAACAAAGCCAAATGTGAAAGGCAAAGTTTTTGCTATGAATAGAGCTAAGACTTCAAAATCAGAGGAGCTTATCAGAGGTAAATGTATCATAAAAGACCGACTTTTAGATGTGTTGTTTGATTCTGATGCTACTTATTCTTTATTTCTGTGAATTGTATGAGATGTCTAGAATTACTTGTATTTGAATTGTCTTGTGATGTCATTGTATCTACTTCTACGGGTAAGCCCCTAGCAACTTCTTTTGTATGTTTATGTTGTCCTGTTAGGGTATATGGTAGGAGTTTTAGTATAGATTTGATTTGTTTACCTCTTTCCCAACTTGATGTAATTTTGGGAATGGATTGGTTGTCATCCAACCATATTCTATTGGACTGCAAAGAGAAAGTTTTAATTTTTGGCACTAAAGTATCAGAAAGTGCTAGACTCTTAAGTTCAGATTCGTTGGAAAATGTAATGAGTGCTAAGGCTTTCATGTTTCTATTTTCAATTGAGACTGAAAAGGAAATGAAGCCTGAGTATAT